TGTTCGGTCAAGGAACGAAGAAACTGCTGGTGTTTTGGGCTGTTTTGGTGCAAAATGGACCATGGGGGTGAGGAGCTGGAGAAAACGCCGGAAGAGTCCTGATTGTGATAGCAAAGAGTCGTCTGAGTACATGGCGTCCACTGGCAGAGCCGTGGAAACGTCCGGAATACGGTTGGTGACGTGTGCCACGGGCGTTCCGCCTGTTCTGTCAGGGTCAGTCTGTGGTGGGACGTTCCTGGGACCGGCCCACGTGATGACGTCACAAGTGACATCACGACACCCGGTCCCTAAGCTTACGCTGTTTTTGTGTCACACTTTGACGTCCCGCGGCGCTAAGGGCACACCGATAGCATCGCCCGTCCGTGTGCTCGTCGCAAGGGCACAAAGAATGGCTCGTGACGCTCGTGAGTCTGTCCCGTGGCGTGACGTCACAGATCCCGTGGTGACGCCCCTGGACGGCCGACAGGCGTTCCTGCCACTGCTGCGAGCGGCCGCGGCCGACCCCGCCTTCGCCGGAGACGTCATGTCGGACCGACGGGCGGCCGTGCTCAACATCAACTCCCGCATGGGCTCGATCGACGACAACAAGTCCGGCCAGCGGTACGCCTACCGCACCAGCAAGGTGTTGGACAGGCACAGCGCGGACATGTTTCTGAGGGAGCCTCGGCACCCGCGCTGGCTAGCTCTGGACGCGGCGTCTCGCAAAGCCACGTTCCATTTGGCCGATTTGGAACTAATGTTTCTTTGCGGTGGTTATGGCTATGGTTTCTGGCGGCAGGCTTTGTGGCTCTCCGTAATTTTTTGTTTTTGTCTTCTGGGAACTGCTGTCTGTACCTTCACTGTAGCCTCAGTCAGATTTGAATACCAACACGCAGGTTAATCGTCACTAGCGTGTGCTTCGTATCTGTCTCCTGTTCACGGCTCGATCACTGCGCTGTGGCCCATCGCTGTATCTCAGATAGATGAGATATGCTTTTGGGGCGGCCCAGCTGTACCCCTCCCCCAGCCCTCAGTGTATTCCAGAACGGGCAAATGTGGGGTGCAGACGTGGCATCGCAGAGAGTGGATCTTGTTTAGATAGAGCTGTCCGATTAGTTCAGTTCTGAAATCAGGCCGTATGCCCAACTGTAGTTTGACCTCTGCTGCACTGCCAAGGCAGCTTAGTCTGACTTCTGTTGCGCCGCCCGGACAGCTATAGTCTGACCTCTGCTGCGCCGCTTTGATAGCTGTAATCTGACTGCTGCACCGCCCTGGCAGCTGTAGTCTGACCTCTGCTGCACCACTCCAGCAGCCCTAGTCTGACCTCTGCCGCACAGCCCTGGGCAGCTGTGGTCTGACCTCTGCTGCACATTCCTGGGCAGATGTAGTCTGACCCTTTGTTGTGCCGCTCCGGCAGCTGTAGTCTGACCTCTTCTGACCTCTGCTGCGCCCCTCCGGCAGGTGGGCCTGAACTCGGTGACCCGTTCACTTGGCATCGACCTTCGCCCGGACCACATCCTGGTGGTCAGCATGGACCCGGGCTGGGTGCGCACGCGCATGGGCGGCGCCAACGGCAAGATTGCGCCCGAGGAGAGCGCCTCCCGCATCCTCACCGCCATGGCCAAGATGACCAACCAGCACACGTCCACCTACGTCGACCACTTCGGGGAGCCGATCCTGTGGTAGACGCGCGGGGTGATGCAGCTGGCCGGCGAGCGCGGAGGACGCTGTCGCCGCGGACAGAATCAGGGTTGCTATGGTTACGCCCAAACCGCGCTCGCGGTGCTGCCAACGGACCGGCGTCGCAGTGGCAGACTCGCCGCAGGCTTTGTAGTGCTGAGCTAATCTGCTGGGCGCTTCAGGGGACGCTAGAGGACGCTCAGGTGTTGGCTGTCCGTGATTTATGCGTACTCATTTGACTTCAGTCACGCGTAGTGTTGTCTGATTTGTGGCTGATAGCTTTCTCTCGCGCCCTGGCTGATTGAGGCTTGTCGATTTTGACATGGCGTTATGTGTCGCGGAGGTAGTGATCATGAGAAAGGAACCTTTGGTGGTTTCGTCAGTCCCGCCAAAGCGGCACGTCACAGTTATGTCGGGACCAAGGGCGTATGAACACTCGTTTGGAACTCATAAACAGCCTCGAGCTCACCCAGTACCTCGGCCGCTATCCGTGGCACGCGGCCTCAAGAGCGCCGCGTGTGTCTCCGGACTGCCACCTTGGGGTGCGCTAAACCCCTGCTGGAGCCCGCTCGTGCGTCAGCCTCGGGCCTTCTCCCAGCCCGTGCGACCAGGGAGTCGTCATTGCCAGGGGATGTTCGGCTGAGTCCCGCTGGATCTACAACCAGCATTCCTTGGTGTGATGGCTGAAGAAGACCTAGTCTATATTGTGGGAAATTTGTGCCTTAAGCACCAAGAAAGCAAGCTTTTTCTTGGGGCAAGCACCTCGCTTCATCAGTGCTGCGGATGTTACTTCCGCGATCGCAATAAGTCGATTTATTTTATTCCGTGGAAGTGGCTCGGAACGCTATTTTGACAAATAAAACCTGTCTAGTGGGCTTTTGGTATTGTCCCAGGAAAAGTTGTAAACGTATTTTTTTAAACGTGAAACTTGTTATATAGTTTTCTAGGCGTTCAGAATGCATTATGGGCCTGCTTCGCCACCTTTTTACGTCGGATGTCGCCTATCCCACATCATCCATGGTGGGTACCTGACCTGACCCGGTGCGTCGCCGGCAGTCGGCGGTGTCCAGAGCCCAGTCCGCCAGCCGCGGCCGATGTCCGACGCACCGTGTCCTTGTGAGGACGCGCCGCACCATCACGCATGCACAATTTGTGGTGTCATGCTGACGGAGCAAGCGCTGGCGTCTTGAATGGGGCCTATTATCCGCAGTCGTCCAGGCCCCGCGGGCAGGTGCCAGGCGCGCGTGCTGCGTCATGCCCTCCCCGCTCGCAGCGTGGGACGAGGCGACGTGCGGCTGGCGGCGACTCGAAGGAGTGGTTCGAATGCGGGTGCGGTGATCCGCGGCGATGTGCGTAACGGAATACGACTGCCCACGCCGCGAGAAACGGCCGATCCAGCGCCGCCGCGTGCACGGGGGCAGGGTGGAGACTTGTACAAGTGCGTACAAGTTGTACAACTTGTACAAGAGACTTGTACAAGTTGTGACGTGTGCCAGTCAAGTGACAAGTGCCAGTCGAGTGACGAGTGCCAGTCAGGTGACCAGACTGGTGCCAGTTGTGACGTGTGCCAGTCAAGTGACAAGTGCCAGTCAAGTGACGAGTGCCAGTCAGGTGACCAGACAAGTGCCAGTTGTGACGTGTGCCAACCAAGTAACGAGTGCGAGCCAAGTGACAAGTGCCAGTGGAGTGACCAGACAAGTGCCGGTCGTGACGTTTGTAGATTGCCATCTGGAGATTCCATGCCCACTTTGCGCAATACGGTGACCGTGCAACCATGCTGCGAACATTCCAGTCGAGAGAACGCACCCCGGCGCCGGCCGCGGCCGTCCGGTCCGGCCGCCGGCCGCCGAGCGGCTACGGCGCGTGTCGCCGCTGGGTATGCGGAAACGGTCGTCAGCGTCGGCCGATGGCAGGCCGGGTCAAGGAGGCGGTCAGCGAAGGTCACACGTGGCATCGGCGCTGCGATGGTGGCGGCGCCACGCGGGCAGACGGGGCACTATGGCCCGGGGCTGTAAGTGCCGGTCGGACAAACGAAAAAAACGATCCGATGCTAAAATGCTGCGGTTCTGTGCTGTGCTCTTCTTGCTAGGGAGATGTTAAATATGACTTGGAGGCACACCAACGTAGGCCAGAAGTCCCCCGGCACAAATCAGGCTCGGTTTTTCGAGATGCGGTCGTCCACCACTGGCGTAGTGGTCGCGGCCAGTGTCAGTCCGCTGGGCGTCTCGCCCATGCAGAGGCTGGAAACTGGGAGGATGGTGCTTTCTTATAGGAGAACGCCACCTTCTGTTGATGCTCCAGAACACTGAGTGTAATGGTATGTAACATGGCGTTCTTGGGGTGTGCGCACAAGCGCAAATGCATTATACTTCGAGTCGTCTTCGGCTCCATGGGTGTAAATAAAAACGTTCAGTTGGTCCGGGAATATCCCGTCCTTCGTTTGCGAGTTGCCATTAATGCATGCAAATCGGTGAGCACATGTGATTCGATATCCTCACGTGCCGCTGCCGGAGTGCAATTGGATCAAATCCGCAAAATATGATATAAAACGTAAAAAACTTAGCTCGGTGATTGAGGCAAAATGTCGATTGTTGGCAAACGGGGTCAAACACAATGACCTGCATTCGTGGTTTGGTTTAACAAGAAGAATGTTAAACACCGAACAAACCCGTTGAACGCGAAAAATATCGGCGGACCGGAAGTCACTTCCAAGCCACATGAACGATCATTACGATCGAAAGTGCGGCATCGTTTTTAAAAAAAACAATGGAACGAGGAAGCTGAAACCATGCGTGGTTCAAAACACCTCTGCTGGGTTTTCGAACGACATCAAATAGGTCATACGCATTGGGCTTTTTTAGACCAGTAGCATATACCCATACGCCTAAACAAGCAGCTGAAAGGGAGAAAGGAGGTACGTGCGCATATATAAATATATTCATGTTTGCATATATATTGATGCCGCATAGTACCTGCATAAACATTTATACCTACGCACACAGACACACCATTTGAGGGAGCCATTGGAATTTGAGTATAGATATATGGCGAAATGCGGCGCATGGTATGAGACATATTCAAAAGTGAATTATCAGTTTACAGATTATACAGCTGTTAACATTTTCGCCCGCGGCGGTGCGGCGCTCGCGCGCGTTCCGTAGCCGACATGGTGCGGACGCTTGGAACGGTAGACGGGCACGGCCTTTGTGTTTGGCGCGGGCTTCGGCTGGAAGCGGCACCAAGGTTCAGCTGATAGCTCTCGCTCAGAGACCCTCTCGCCTAGATGGCAGGGGCTGACGGCGGCCCGCGCTGGCTCGGGACCCGAGGCCGCCAAGCGATAAAAACTCCGAGCAGGTATTCCAGGTGCTATAGATTGGTGGTGCGCATGCGCAATGGAAAGCTTGCATCGGTCCGGCGCATACCCCTATGTAGGCCGCGGCATCTCGGCCACTCGAGGTACTCCGCACTGCGGCCACTCCGGGGTAGGTTCATAAGGACAGGCCAAAGAGGGTGGACTCGGCGGCCTTTACGGAGGCGAGGGCTCCTTTATGTGTATAAATGACTGCACGCGCAAGTCTGACATGGTATAAAAGTGCGATTGATCTCAATTCCCTGTTCAGACTGTTCCCAATATGATTAACTGTGCTGGGAACTGGACAAGTAACGGGCTAGATTTGAGAACCACTGCAATTTGAGTACGGCTATTGATAAAAATACCTGTGCAGGAAACCTGCTTTTCCCCTACCTGGTGCGCTGTGGTTGGGGGTCGCGCCTGCGATGAACGCTAAACGAACTCTCCTGGCCCGCACACCATAGACGCGGCAAGCGGAGCGGGTGTCGCATTAAACTGAGCCACGATCGACGGATGTGGCCACTAAGTGCAATTGTGGCGCTTCACGGGCTAGGACTGGCGCGAAGCGCTGGTCAGTAACGCAAGAAATTTACCGCCATCCAAATGTAAGGTCAAATTTCAAACCACGTTAAAGACACACACACACACACACAACACACACACACACACACACACACACACACACACACACACACACACACACACACACACACACACACACACACACACACACACACACACACACACATCACTTTTCCAGCGATTTTGAGACCATGGCGGGTTCAAGGCATTGTATCACCCTGTTGCCACGGGGTGACTGGGCGGTCCAAAGCGATGCACAGCTGTTTGCTCAAATCAAGCATTCTTTGTCTGTTGGGGATGACTGTGAGAACTTGTGAACGGCGTTTGTTTGAACATAATTTTAGAGTCAGTGTGTCTTCAGTTAGGTCAGAGCGTAGGAGTTTCTGATTGTGGGTTTTGCGCATACGCTGGTCGGGCGCTTCTCCTGCTGGTGCATTGCCACCGTGGTAACGACGTCGTGGTCATTCCAATAAGGGAAAATTGCGAAACCGACAGTCTCCGTAGTTAGTCCAGCACGCACCACGAACTTGAACGGTGCAAGCAATTGCCCATTAATAACGGCTATTCGAACAGCGCAGCTGACCGAGAAACTTGATCCACTTCGTATTGATCAAACCTGAGGGCACTCGTCAAGAAACCGCCCATCAACTTTTTTGTGCCGAAATCAGATATCCCTGTCATAGAACGTGGACGAACAAGATATGCGGACTATTGCCAGGACAAATATCGCAGGGACTGACGAAGATGCAGGAATGAGGCCTACCATCTATTACAAGAGCAGGGTAACTAGCAGCCTTGCAATGAGAATCAGTCCGACATGAGCCCAAAACCAACTGAAGCGCACCAAAATGGTGTATCGATTTAAATTCTCACACGAAGGCTGTCGGCTCCGCAACTCGACCTACATTGGAATGGCCACATCTATGTCACGACGCGTGACGATGCACCTGCATGAGGGAGCGCCAGACCAGCATATGCACAAAACCCACAATCAAAAACTCATGCGGTATGGCCCAACCAAAAACACACTGTTTCTAAAATTATTCTGACTGGTCTCACACATCCCTCAGCCGTTCAGCATGCTGTCTGTTCCCTTGACGACAAGTCGCAAGAAGGAATGGTATTCTCGTAGACCCCTGGTCATCCTGCGGCTGCCCTGGTCTCGGCTGATCCGGCACTATCTAGCTGCGCTGGTGTTTCCCTATATTGTCTTGTTGGTACAAGCTTTCGACCAGCACCTTTAACCCGATTTTTTTACCGGTTTGCTCGTCACGTCTTCCTGGACGGGTTGGTAGGTGAAGGTGTCACTTTTTCCAGTTTTTCTTACATAACGGTATTTGCGAATAACGACCACGACGGATCCTCTAACGATTGGTCGGATGACAGTGGTGTCGTCCCTTGGATCAGAGTTAACAGGGCTTTACTCCTCCCCTCACTCCTGTTCTTTGGTGCTTCTTCTTTGATATTAAACTTTTGGCGCACTCCACTTGGATATTTATGTTTTCAATCTGGGTCTGCATTGTTATTTATTAGTCGGTGACCGACGCTGACCAATACTAACACAGACGCATGAGGCGTTCCCACTCTTCTAGTTCAGCGACCACTTGAGTCAGAGGCTGTTTGTGGGTCGGAACGAAGCTTAGTCGTTTTTTCAACACCAATATCTCGCCGTTCGTTAGCTTGCGGGTTCACGGATTGAATTTCGACTGCGCTTTTTTGCTGCGTCTCGAGCACATCTATACCGAGCTGACCTCTCCAGCCAGTATTCCGGCTGACACTGCGTGCTCCCCGTTCCAGCTGCTCAGTCCCTAACCGTTAAAGTTTTTTTCTTTATTCGCAGACATTGCCTCCTTCGTACACACCTCGATTTTTGTTGACATCGTTGCGCACATTGTCTTCTTTGCACGCACTCACTTTGATTTTTCTGATCGGCTTGAGGA